GTGATTTCAGATGAAAACACACAGTGAAACCTGAGACCTTACTGGCAGAAGCACTTTTTTTTAATGAATGCTCTGTTTTCCCCTTCAAAAGGCCAGACTAGGACTTGGAGTGAAGAACTGCATTGGTCGTGTCCTGCCTGTCATACTGAATTTTTATGAAATGAATCAAGTTGCAGGTGGGGTTTCTGTGAGTTGTCATCTCACACTGTGAATGACTCCAAAGAGCAATCCTTGTGTCCTTGCCATTGCAGTGCTTCCCCTGGATTCCAGCTGAGTGATTAACAGCAAAACGCAACTGGCCTGATACAAATGTGAGCTATGGAACCTGTTAAAATAACCTGTGCTGTTTCAGAGCCAATAAAGTGTGCTGCTGTGCAGATTTACAGGCTCCTGGTGATGGAGATTATCATTAATCTGATTAAATCCAACTCAATAGGGAGCACTTCTAAAGCTCACACATTTGATGTGTTCTGTCATTTATTTTGTGGTGATGGTCTGCTTCTTCTGAGGCAATTTCTGTATGAAGTAATAGCTTGAGCAAACATGTTTTATGTGAGAGTGAAATACTGGCTGGGTCAAGTACCAAGAGCATAACTTCACATTGCAGAAACAAAAAGAATGTGTTTTAAATCCAAATAGGTCTTTGCAGAACCCGAATAACACTTTTAAGAGTATCCTGGTCTATAAAAGTCAGGTTTTAAGTAGAATACTTATATTTTGTAAGTCTCCTATCTATCTCTTGTTGCAGAAACGTGGAACAAGTAAATTAAAAGAAGTCAGCATGTTTACAGTATTCTTAATATCTTCTTCTATTTAGTCATGATAACCTCATCAGAGCAGTTCCAAAGGGTGAGTTTTATTAGCTTGGCTGGTTGGTTGGAAGTCAACATAGCAAATGTTGGTACTCTCAGATCGAGAGCACATTGATGTTGAGAGAGATTCCCACTGCTTTCAGTAGATTGTTGTTTAATTCACATCAAATGAAAATACTGTGCAGATCTTACCATATGCTTACTTTTTGTAACAGTTTCTTATGGTTTTCATGTATTTACAAAAGTCTTCTTTTTTTAATTGAATTAAAGAATCAGTTATTTCTATTCAGATTTGAAGACTGATCTTACTTTCTCTTCAGCATCTGTTCTGTCACTGAGTGACACAACATTTTTTAAGTCCAACGAAGTCTGGCTGAGTCCGTGGCATTACTCTGCCAGTATGTTTACATGGATGTGGTAATTCCAGTGAACCAGTTATCTGAGCATATTGTGTGTATTTGGATGTATATATGTACATCACCTTGCTTGCAGTGAATCCCACCACCTGTTTCCAGATGTTGGCAGTGTGCAGTTTGTGTGCTCTGGAGGGGGCTACTGATCTAAATGATGGACAAACTTTTGTCCTGTTGTAACAATTATTATACTATGATTATTTTAGACCATACAGTCTTCTTATTGATCAGATCAGTAATTAGTTTTGACTTTAATAAAGGCTGTTGCTGATCAGCTCATCACTGTGTTAATGCAAATTGTAGTGGCATGACCCTACTGTTGATTTTGTTGTCAGTCAAAAGTATCAGCAGTTTTAATGCTTCATTTATATGAAATGGAACCACAATGAAACCAGATTGGTCTCATGGCATAGTAAAATACTGTGGAAAAGTATGTAGATACTGTGTAGTGGAAGAGGGAAACATATCATGCCTTTTTGATATATTTGAAACACTTTTAATGATTAGTGCTTAATTCATTGTCCTTGCCAAAGTTCAGTGAGTGGTATGAGTTTGTGTTAGGCTGCATCTACGGCAACTGCATATTCTATAGTTTAATGTTAAATGTGAAAGGTTTTCATCCAGAAAATGAACTGTGAAGCAAAAAATGCATAAATAATTCGCATATATTTTGAAAAGATTCTGACTGGAATAGGTCACGCTGGTAACTCCAGTAGGCAGCATCCCTGCTAGAGCTGGGCTTTGGAAAGCAGTGTTTGAGTTTCAGATGGATAATGGCACCACTTTCTTTCCTTCTCATGTAAAATATAAGAAATCATCAACAACAGGCAGCAAATGTTCACTGAATTGGGGCATATTTGTTTTTTAACTTTACTCCTGCTGACAGCTCACCTCACACAAGCCCCTGTTCCTAGAAGCTCTGAGAGTTGATATGCAGGTGTTCTATGCTCAGGACCAAGAGTAATAAGGCTTAATAGGAATTTCAAACTACAGTTGAGTGGAATTCTGTAAATTCTTTGACTTTTGTTCCCCATCTCCCCACAGTAAAAAAAAAAATTAATGTAAGTATGTAATGAATGTCTTTACGATAGGATTGCATGTTCCTTATATTGAGAATGGGAAATTCAAGTCAAGCAGGGCATGACTTTATTTCCTAGGTAGAGTAAATAAAATGAAAGTTAGATTCTATTTCACAGCAGTTTCTTAGAATTTGTTCTGAAATGCCTGAGTCATGAGTCTGTAAGTTATTTTTTTTGAGATATCAAGATAAATTCTTGCAGTTTTTTGCTCAACATTTGGAGAATATCTTGGAATATTACAGATTTTTATAAAATTTTTTCTTAAAGCTGCTTTGAAATGAAGTCTCCAAATGATTAAATTTTGCATTTGTTTTCAAGCCCCAGATTGCTTAACTTCAGTACTTACTATTACTGTTTATTTTCAAAGCTGAAGTCATTTGTTGAAAGGAGAATCATGTCAGAGTTTAGTTGTTTGGAGGTTGCCTCATCTAAATGGTGTTTAAGTAGAAAGACTGAATTTAAAGGAATAGCACCTCACTAATTAATAATTAACTAATATTTTCATTATCTCCCTAACCAATATGTGCACTGGACTTAGGGGTAAAGAGTAGAAGAGCCTCCTGTCTTTGGCTCTCTGTGGTTTCCCAGTTCCAATTCCTTTCTGAAAGAAGAAATCGGTTGCTAATATTTGTTAAAGTGAACATTGGGGGAGGTTTAATCTCTGTGTATGGCCAAGTTACAATTCAGCTTTGAAGAAACTAAGTATTATTCTAAGCTCATTTTTCAGTGTTCAAGAGGTAGCTGTACCATAATGTAGCCAACATAATTCTGTTTAAATTAAGTTTGTGTCATGTGATGTCCAATAATGCATTTACCTCACCTGTTGCTGCCTCAGAAGTAAAATCCAGGAGCTCATCCTGTTCCCAACAGAATTCAGCAAGAACATTGCTGTTAAATCCATGAGGATCAGAATGGGAATTTTAAATATTTTTTGCAGTGGTAAATCCTAGTTTTTCAGAGAGACATTAGAGCTGTCTTTGTGAATTGGGTGTTTTCTCCTGAGGCAGATGTGGTGTTATCTTTGATCATGAGACCTTCCTCTCTGGTCTGGCACAAATAACCTGGGTTATCCTGCCTCTGTTAGATTAAAATGGTCCAGCTGATGCTTCAACATAAACAGCACTATAAAACTTTAGCCAGGTCCAGACATCTTTCCAGAGGTAATATTCATATTCCCAACATGGGATTTCAAAACAGATTTAGAAAGAAAAACAAGTGATCAATGATATTTCTGTAAGTTACACTTGTGCCACAGGATATTTAACTTCTACTTTTGATGGCAAAAATATTTGATAACATTCAGGTAAGTATACACCTCCTATGATAACACAATGGATTTCAAACTTCATCTTGCATGTGTATTTATTGCAAGAATACAGTATAAACCCGTAACACAAATGCTTTCTTCCTTGTTTTCTTCTTATCAATTGCACATTTGTTCAGAATGGATTGTTGAGCAATATTTTAGTGTGTGATTTCAGTATAAACACCTTCTTTGCTTTCTCCCATCCTTTATCCATAACACATAAGATATCCTTAAGAAATATGCTGCCAAAGGAAGTATTGCCAGTTGTTTATTATGAAGTTTGGTTCTTCCACTATTGAAACCAGTGGTGAAACTCTTCTGGCCCACGGTGGGAATAAGATTTTCCATAAGCAAAAATATATTGTTTTAATGTGTAGTATGTATTCCTTTCACTGGTGAAGTGGACTTTGTGTAATATAATAGCATTTTGTCAGATGTTGAAAATGGGCAGTTACTTTTTTTTTAACACTTGAGAGGGTGTCCTGTAGTGTTCTGGTTTTGGACTGTGCAACAAATTTGTGCTTGCTTGTAATAGAAGTGGGAAAGGTACTCTAAGCTTTGACTTAAGCAAAGAAAGCGCAGAGAGACTGAACCCATACCCCTTTTCCAATGTCCAAGTGTTAGAGTAGTTCCCTTTTATCAACAGATTTACCTTGTTTTGTAATTTCTCTTTTACTCCAAAGCAGATCCATGCTGCCTAAGGGATACAATAGACAAATTCCTAGAGGAATGTCATTGTTAGGCCTGGGAGACTGGATCAGGGAATTCAGTTCTGTTTTATTGCTGCAATCCTGGCACATAATAATTACTCATGAGCTCTCCTTCCCGTTAATTACTTCAACTCAAGTTATAGTCTAGAGAAAGGAAAACTGATCAGTAAACCAGGCCCTTGCAAATTTGACAACAGTCTTCAGTACCTCTGGTGCTTTCTTTAGAAACAATGTAAAGTTTCTAAGCACAGTGTTTCCAATAAACCATTTTTCTAAACCAACAATGTGGATAAAGATGAACATGAAGTGGTTCACATTAACATTAATGTCCACTGGCACTGTTGACTTTAACAAGAGCAAGATTGCACCTGTTTAGTGGAAATCCTTTCAGATTAATAAATAACTGTGAAACATGTATTTCAGTATGTTTTAATATTTCAGTAGGTTTTCACTTTAACGTTGAAAATCGCACTATGCTTTGTATCACAAAGTACTGTGTGATGGGATGGTAAGGATACCAGGATGTCAAAAGACAAAGAATTGTACCTGTGTAGTAGACAGATACAATTGCTATGTATATATGTTTTTAAGACACTCGAAGGCCTTACAAGCAGCTTTTCTGTAGCTACTGATTATAGATACATATATCCTTGATTTTCTCTCTCCCTTTTTTCCTGCAGGGCCAAGGCTTTTCGTGGAAAAAAGGTTCATGGAGAATATGACATAAAGGTTGAACAGGTAACTGACTTAATCTGAATGTTATTTTTATATTTGTGTATTTATACAAATACAGATATATAATACACACCTCCCGGGAGGAATTGAAAAGGCATGTCAGTGTGGCTCTTAGGGACATGGTTTAGTGGTGGCCTTGGCAGTGCAGGGTTAATGGTTGGGCCCCTGATCTAAGAGGGATTTTCCAGCCTAAATGATTCCATGATTCTATGTGCATATGTGTATAGACAGACACACAGTCTCCTCCCATCCCACGGGGAGGGAGTGACTGAGTTGCTGTGTGGGACTGAGCTGCCAGCTGGGGTTAAACCACAACAACCCTTTTTTGGCACCCAATATGGGCTCTTTTTACAGGATTTTGACCATAATTTGCACAACACGAAAAACATCTTGTATTCAAAAGTTGTTGCTTAGAGACGTTGAGGTTCCCAGACACTCCATGAATGACTTGTGGCATTTCTGTATCACTGATTCCTCACTCAAGAATATAAATGCACTCTGGTTGCACTGCTAGCATGTGGGGATTAAAAAAACCTGTAACAAACAGGAATAAATATGGGGATATATTCAAGGTGTATTAGAATTATGGCTTTTTTATTTAAGCTGTGTATCTGAAACTAGGGAAGTAAATAGGTCTTTTACTTACTTTTCTTAATTTATTTACTTTTTCACCACTTTTCAATCTTGAATTCTACAAATCGATCCTACTCTAAGAAGCATCAGTACTTAAACTGACTTGTTTTGTCATAGAATTTCAAAGAGTGAGGGAGAATGATCACTAGTTGTGTGGATCCAGCTTATCTAAATTCACTGTAATAGTACAGCATCCATTCTTTACACCATTGAATATCTGCTGATGCTCTTGACTTGGAAACATGCAAGGCTTTGCCAGAGATCTTCAAGAGTTTTGAGGGAGAGGCAGGAAAACGAAGACAAGCTGTTTTGTCCCAAAGTGCCATTCACACCTAGATCAGACCAGGCATTTGACATCACACACAGTCTCTTTAATAGGAACAAAAGCTCAGTTTAAGCCTGGAATTTCCTTCATATGGTCTGTTGTGGGACCAGATTTGCCTTTAATCAGTGAGAGACTGGAAGTTTCTGAACCACACTGATCACTTTGTAACACATCAGCACTGTGACAATTGAATATAAATAGTTATTCACAACTGCTTCAGAGTTCCGTTGCTGACACCAGAACAGTATTTTATTTTACGCTGCCTACAGCAACCTATCTTAACACAACAATATTTTCTATCATGTACTAAGCTTTTAAAATGATTTCTTATTTGGAGAGTTCAGTTGTCAGTCTCAGATTCAATAGGTGGTAAATGATTCTTTGACATTGTCAACGCTTACACAAATATTTCATTCTCCCACCATTTGTACTGTTTTTAAAAAAACTTAAAATGTCCCCTGTGCTTCAAATGTTTTAACACTGATCCCAGAAGGTGTAAAAGTATAGAGGGTTTAAAGAAGAGAGCTGTGTGCTGGAAATCAAGCCCGTACTGCAGCAGTGGAGTTGGAACAGTGGTTGGAAGAGTCAGCACTCCCTTAACTGGGCACCAAATTGTGAGAGCCTCTCACAAATTTGACTGGGGAAGACTTTCAGTGATACCATTTTTCAAGAGGAGACTAATGAGGATTGTGACACTCTCTATTCTGTGCTGGTGTCCGGGACAGCAAAGACGCTTTTATTTATCCCCCAGAAGACAGTTGGCTGCATTTCAATTATTCTGCTGGGTAATGTTATTGTAAAGTGCCTTGAGAGTCTAAGCTGGTGAAAGACTGTGGATAAATGAAAAACATCCTGTCCTTTCCTTTCAAATAACTGTAGATTCAGAGTATGGAAGTGGTTCCTTTTCAATTCCACGTTTCCAGTGTGAGAAGACTTTTGAAAAAGTTCTTTAATTGTGAATTTTGTGAGACAATAGTTCATTAGCACCAGATCTTTTTAAAAGAAGAATAAATGAATGTGAAGGAAATAGAAAGGGCTAAGCTATATGAAGAGACACTAAATTCTATAAGACAATATTATTTCTATCCCAATGATTTTAATGTTACTTTTGTGCGATTTTCTTCAAAACAGTGTGTAAATGTTAGGTCTGTTTGATAACACCATGCAAAGCAAAAATATAATCCCTACATTTCTATGCAGACATGAACAAGTAAATCCACTTGCTACTGCCCCACAGGCCATTTTCACCAATGTTTTTTACCTTTTGCTTTATTTGGATTAGAATTTCTTCAAATATGATGTGTCATACTTGGCAAATGCTGTTGGATTAATGTCCTCTTGGTGCTCATTATATTTCAAAGGTATATTGTCAGCAGTTCAGACACTAATGCTTAAAATAAGGGACTTGGTAAAATAAAGGTAAAATAAACCAGACTGACTAATGTGAGTCTTGTTTTCATAGGCAGAATTTTCAGAAATCAACTTGATAGCCCATGCTGATGGCAATTATGCAGTGGATGTCCAAGTCATTCGAAATGGCACTAAAGTCGTGAGGTAAGAAAAACTTAACAGAACAACAACAAAAAAGCAATTAATGGCATAATGCATGTATGTAAAAGGTGCTGAATGGTCTTTTTGTATGTGTGCAATAGGGGGTTTGACGGATGGTCATGAAAAATAGGGAAATAAAGTATCTGATCCCTCCAGGATGTCCTGCTTGTGACAGGAAGGACATATCTTGACATTTTGATCGTAGGAAAGATACGTTTGATTAAGAGGGGAATGAACTCCAGTATGAAGAACACATAATTGGGAAATAGGGTTATTGATTTAGGTTTTATCTTTGCTTTGCAAATACACACAGTCTTGGTGATTCTGTACTTGCCAGACTTTCCCAGATGAGCAGTATTTATTTCCAATGTTGAATATTTGCTGTTGAAACAGGCCAAGGAATAACACTTCTCTCAGGCCAGAATATCACTGTCTGTTTGAAAGATTTCAGTTTAAATGGCTGAGATTTCCCAATAGGCTGTTTTGTCCAAAAAAGATGATGCCAATTGAAGACCTAATAATTTAACATTATTTTTTTCAGTGAGGACATCAACAGTCTTGTAAATGTAAGGGGAGAAAACAGGGGTATGTCTGGGCAACGTAAAAGCTTAAGCAAAATTATATCAATCAGTCCTATATTTTATCTAAATTGTGAAATTGCTCCTATTTTGGCTGGAGCAGTTGTGTGAGTGAAGCATAGCAGTTTTTTGGCTGAATTGTAATCAGAAAGGTAGAGCCAACAGTGATCTTGGATTTTACTGCTCATGTTTATCTGTGGGCAAGAGTGAGAGGTCAGGGAGCTGGACAGCATGTCTTGGATCTTCATGACTTCACACAACATCTGTCCAAATAAAAGATGTGAAAATTTTTACTCATTCATGTAATAAAAATCAGGGAAAAAATATTGAAAATAAGTTTATGCTTCAAAACTCACAACTGTTTAATCTGTTACATGTTCTAAAAATATTGCAGCTAAATACGACAATAATCTTTGCCAAATCCACAAAATAATTTCCTTAGAAGAGGAAGAGATTTAATTTTTTAGGGTTGGTGGGATTTTTTACCCAATGATACAGGGTTTGGAGCCAGGAAATCTTGATCACTGCTCCTTAGTGGCTTTTCTGTAGGGAGTTTTCCAAAAAAAGAACAAAAATACTGAGGCCAAGTTAGCATGAAAACATGTCAATAGTTTATGAGTTGAGAACCTCCAGAAAACAGCATCTACAAAAGTGTACATTTGTAGTTCATGAGAAAACTTAGCAAAACTGCTGCTTATGTCATCAGATAACTCTGATAATGAGATGACAAGGGATTTTGTAATCTCCTCAGATTTATGGGTAATTTATTTATCCAAAAAGAACTGCCTGAGGTTGATAAATGTCCCTCAAACCTGGTGTGAGATACCTGCATGTGTGTGTGTGTTTTGTGGAGTGAGAGGGAGATTGAGACATGATGGGAGAGCAGTCTTCTGTTTCTATGATAACTGGAGATATGTGTCATTATTTTGAGGTCCAAAGTGACCATAAATCAGAGATTTATGGGCAGAATATTAGTTAGCAAAATCAGAACAATTTCAGTGACAAAATTTTTCTGTCTCAGTTTAGGGGGAAAAAAAATGTGTAACAGGCACCTACTTGTTTGGTTTCTGTGAATGAAAGTCAAATCCTGAAAAATTATATCTTATGCTACATAATGCTAAGGTTTTGGATCTTACAGGTGCTTGAGATAGGCTTAAAATTTTTCTCATGAACTTTTTCTGTATCCAGTCACTGGCCAGCATTAATTACAGAACTAGAACAATTGTGTGAATGTATAATATTCCTTTGAGGAGCTTTTGCAAAGGAAAATATATTTCTTTTTTTTAATTTTTAAAAACTCCGTTCCCTCAATTCCCCAACTGTTTCATTAAATGGGTCTTTTAAAGGACACTTTCTGTTTTTTTATTTCAAACCATGGTGCTGTCTCTAAATGTGTTATCCCCTTACCACTGTTTTAGGTGATAGAGGTGGTCTCTTTCTTTCACTGAAGGATCTGCAATTTTGGTTGTTAGTCCTCTAAGTATTAGAGGCTAGTAAATTGGATTTCTATGTTTCAAATTCTTGACACAGCACCAAGAAACCCAGATCACAAATTCTCAGAGCTATGCTGCAAACACATCTTAGGAAACCTGTTTAAAGGCAAGCATTTCTTTACAGGTTTTGGTCACTGAGCTACGGTGCCATTTGAATGACTCTTGACAACAAATCTATAATGTTGCTTTTGCCAAATTGTGCAAGTCTGATTTGGGTTGGTTTTGCCCTGGCAGTGGTAAAACACTGGCACAGGTTGCCCAGAGAAGCTGTGGCTGCCCCATCCCTGGAAGTGTCCAAGGCCAGGTTGGACAGGGCTTGGAGCAACCTGGGATAGTGGAACCATGGCAGGGGGTGGAACAAGATGGGCTTTAAAAACTCCCTTCCAACTCAAACTGTTCTATGATTCTGTGATTTGAAAGCCAAGTTAAGAATCCAGCTAATCTACTTTGACTACTGCATTCAGGCTGGAATCTCAAAATTGCTAAAGCAATTTTAAACATGGATTTTAGTTTGGTTTTCCTGGAGTGAGACCTTCTGAATCATTTTGTGGTCCTCAGAGTTTCTCATTCCAATATACAGCTTGTATTTATTCAAGACATGTAAATAATTACTCTAATTTACCCCGTAGTTACACTTCTTTCAGGAGGTTGATAGCTTCAAGCTACTCAGGGTTTTCTTCCAACTATAACATTGGAATGCAGAAGATACTCTTTCAACAGTCAAGTTTAGGAGCAAATTGCCCCTGTGCTGGTGGCTCTCTCCTGTTGTACTGTTTCTTGTTTTCCATAGTCTTCTTCAGTAGCTAAATGTCAGGGTTTGAGTAAAGTGAAGGTGGTGTCAGACTGTTCTCAAAGTTGCAGGGTGATAGGGCAGGAAACCACAGCCACTGCAACTGGGGAAATGCTCATTAGATACAAGAGGGAAAAGAGGGCTAAAATGCAGTTGTAAGTTTAGAAATTCATTTTGACAAATCTCTTGATCAAAAGCTGAATTGTGATTATCTCCATTTTGGTGTGATGCCTTTTGGCAGCAACGGTGTTGCTTCATCTCTTACTGTCTTGAAAACAACCTGACAATAGTTATGAAAAACCTTTTTTCCCAAAAAGCTCAAGTTTCTGGCAGAGCCAATTGCCTGCTTTAGTTTTGATTGTCTTTGCTCAGAAATGGGAGTACACAAGTTTAAGAACATGCTTAGAGTTTATAGATGTGAGATTTTTATATGTGTTTTTCTTTCAGGAAAACAACCTGAAATCAATGATAATTTCTCTTTCCTCTTAATGGATTCACATTATTGAGGAGATGCTGATGTTTTCTGAACATCAGTTGAAAAATGATGCAGTACAGATTTTCATAGAGCCATCACAAGTCTTTTCCATCTTGTAGCAAGCATTTACCTTTGGTTTGAGTGGTCTTTCAGCCCTTCTCTACCCCTCAGTTTTTCCCTTTTGAATAATTTGCTCTTGAAGGAAAAACACTTATTATCATTGACTATCAGCAATGTCTCTTTTTCCTGCTAGGTCATTCAGGCCTGACTTCGTTCTTGTTCGACAACATTCCTTCAGTATGGCAGAAAATGAGGATTTCCGTAACCTGATCATTGGGATGCAGTACGCTGGCATCCCCAGTGTCAACTCCCTGGAGTCCATCTACAACTTCTGTGACAAACCCTGGGTGGTAAGTGATGCAGCCAAAACTTCTGCTCCTGCTGCAAAGCCAGATAGTGCCTTTTTTTTTGACTGCTGGTTTAGTTCCCCTTCGTGAATATTGACTACCAGACTGCAAAGTTACTCTGCTGAGCAGTGAAGCAATAGTGAAAGGAATAAAAAGTAAGCTTAAATAATTTTTTTTTTCAAAGAGACAGTGTGGAGACAGAGAGAAAAAAATATTTGTAGTCCAACCAGTGATCTAAGTGAGGAAGCTAAGGGAAAGGCTGTCCCCTGCTAACATACTTCCTCAAGTGAGGAGAGTGTGTTTATTCACAATTTGTCTGGGAAAAGCAAGCTGAGAATATTTTTCATATTTGTGGTTTTGAGCATAATTTAAACAGACTTTAGCCAGTGTTTTCCTTGTGCCTGTGAAATTTTGGGGGCTCTGCTGTAGCAAGGAAATCTGAAGCTCCTCGTTTCCTCATTTCAAAGCCCTTTTCATGATCCTGTGCCTATGGGGTAGGAGTTGCTGCTTTCAGTTACACCTGGAGAGTCACTGCTCTTTGCCAGTTTTAGTGTAGGAGCCAATGCAGTTTTTCTTAACATGCTTTGTAGTGATGGAGGAAGAATTTGGTGGTCTTTTTGATTCATAGAGAACTGAACATTGTTAGCCACAAATTACCCATGGTGCAGTCACTATCCCTCTAATAGGTGCATTCAGCTGTCCAACACCTAACAGAATTTTAAAGAATCCCACATGTTATAAATAGCCAACATTTCATTTTTTTTTCTCTGATGTCTGGGTAAGAAAAGAACAGTTGTCAATATTTTTCACACTGAAGAAAAGTTTTACTATTATACTTTTTATTGCCTTGAAGATGTTTATTTTTTCACATTTACTATGAAAATCCCTCCAAAAAATTGTCAGCAGATTTGAACATATACCTTCTGGCAGCTAATTTTATTATACCTTTATGTTGCAGCAAACTACTGGAGGGAATAAATAATTAATAGAGCATTTATAACTTCTCAGAACACATAATGTACAGTGCTGGATTAATTATTTTCATAAATTACATATTCTAGCTGTGTGGCATTTCTCAATGGTTTGATTCACTGTATATAATAAAGCTGGGGAGCAAACCCAGTAGCATTTATTTGAAATTATGATACAATAAAAAGTAAATTAATAATTCCTCCTTACACATTGCCATATCTGTACCTTTGGGTTTTGCAAAAATTCTCTTTTTTTTTAGCTGAAATTTCTCTAGTTTGTCTCAGAATAGATACGAGTGAAATGAAAATATTTTTCAGATGATCTTATTTTGACTTGAATATAGAGATGATGAATAATTTTTCCTTTGAGATTTTCTACCTTGCCACTTGTACTTCTGGCAGCCAAAATATGTTTTCTTTTAAATACTCAAGTTTTGCAGAGTTTCAGCAGGAGTCCATTTCACATCTCTTATGTTTTTCCTCTCAGAAATAACTGTTGTAGAGACATTTTAGCATCAGACAGGTCACATGCTCCAAACTAATTTCCTTCCTGTTTTGATTATCTGCCGTAGTTCCCTTAAGTTGTTTTCATGAAGGTGTATAACAGATCAGGGCCTGCCTGTGCCCCCACTGCAGGTCTGGGAACAAGGAGGTTGAGCAGCAACGTCCATGTGCTGTGACTGTGGCCAGGCTTGGCTCCACCACCCATCTCAGTCCTGGGTTTTAACTACCCATGACCATAAACTAAGCCTAGAAACCTGACATTGGTTCCCTTTCTGACTATGTGGTGGCACTGCCCCTTAGCTGGGTCCTAATTAGGAGTCTGGACTTTTAATGGGAGCACAAAAATAATTTCTGTACACACAGAGGGGGCTTTGTTTGGCTGTTTAACCTGGAATATCCTGCCTTCAGTTCTTTGTGCTCCTGGGAGATGTAATAATAATAATGGCCAGTCTTCGCGAGCGAAGATTTGGGAAAGGTCATTAACCCTTCGAGCCTGCGCAGTGGATTTTTTAGGTGAGACCCAGCGTGCGCTGAACTGAGCCCACCCTTTAATCCTGAGGTTCAGCTGCCGGGCCGAGCAAGCTTGGACAGTGGCAGTGAGGTCCCCAGGATGTAGGTTTGTTTAGAGTGACCTTCTCTTAGATGGATTGCCTCACAGGGCTAACGAGCTCCATCTGCCCGGGGGGCTGGGAATCGAACCCGGGTCGCAGCGGTGAGAGTCCTGCACCCTAACCACTAGACCACTGGGAGATGTAGACACAACAGTTTATATCCCAGAGCATGGTGAAATCTTTGTCAGATTTAGGAAAGGTAAACACTGGAAGGAGACATGCAGGCTGGTGGGATTGTTGGGATGTCCTGTGCAAAGCCAGGAGTTGGACTTTGATGATCCTTATGGGTCCCTTCCAACTCAGGATATTCTGTGATTCTATGGAGCCCATGCCTAGAATAGATACTGTAAGGGTAATTAATCCCTTGATTCAGCTGATTTAATGAATGTTCGAATATTGCAGCAGAATCCAGGGATTGTTGGTTTTGCCAATATCATCCTCTACCTTGTTGCATTACACCTTTCTCATACATCCTACCTGCTTGTGAGAAATCCCTGCTACAAACTGTTTGGGATGTCTGGGAGTGCACTCCTCAGTCTACTGCTGTATTAAGGGTGAAAAGCACTGATGCTGCTGTGCTCCAACAGGAAGCACATTCTGCAGTCTTGACATCCATGTCAGGTTTGCAATAGTGCAGGTAAGGAATCCCATGCTTGGACTTACCCTCCATGTGTCTTTCTGTACAATTCCTTTGTCAAAACCTGATATTTGTGTGAAAGTTATTTCTATAAACATTGAAAGTTCAAAAGCCCTAGGAAAAACTGGAAAGGAGAACGCCAGATAAAACCGTAAGTAACAATCTTTATTAATTTATGAGAAAGAGGTTGATTTTCCTGCAGGTAAAATTTGAGTGGCAAAAGTGAATTGCAACTTGGATAGCAGCAGGGAAAAAAAAAAAAGGGTGTGCAATGGAATGGGCTTTTAAAGAATGGGAAATACTGAATGGGCAATCAATCTTACTTACACCAGTGCAAAATTAGGAGTAGTATAGAACTAGGAAGGGAAGTCTGGGAAGTTATAAAATGAGAATACAAGACCTTTGGTTTTTAAATTGCTGTTCTTCAGAGTGTCAGGTGTTTGATGTTTTTAGAACTCGCAGCTCCAGATGCACAACATCCCTTTTCAACCCTGAGGGCAGATTCATAACCTGCATCACAAACTGAAGCACCTGCCCTTAATTTTCCAGCAGAACTCTTTTTGTGCTCTGCCTGCAGACACACCTGCGTTTCTGTGCATTTGCCAATAAACAGTGAACAAATTTGTATTTGACCTGATTTATATTCTTGGAAGATGGGGTGTGGTGGGAAGATTGCCAGGAACATACTGAAGTCTTAAAGCTTGTCTTCTCTGGTGTCAGGACATACATAATTCCTTCAAATGCTTGTCAGAAGTTCAGAGCATTGTACAGCCCTTTGAAAAGCTGGGTGTGAGCAATATGGCAAAGAAAATGTTGAAATGGCTGTTTATGGTGAGATGTTTGAGTACTGAAACGTATTCATGATTTGGGGTTGTCGCAGCGCTGGGGTGATAACACCACCTACCTCATGAAATATTCATGATCGTGGCTTGAGATGAATTCCACTTAAATGCCAGTAAGAATGTCAGAAAGTTACTTAGCTAGGGGGAAAGTGTGAGTTTTATAAATAAAAACTGAGTTCTTTGTTGCTGGGTTCATGCAGAGCTGGGGAGGAACCTCGTCTGTTCATGCCCCCGTCTCACCACATTAGAATGTTTCATTGCAGTGTCACATTGCAAAAGAATAGTCTTGTGTGTGACATGTTCCAGTCAAATGAGACTAAAATTTTAACTAGCTTAATTTACAGCTGCATTGAATTAAGGTGAGGCAAAAACTTATACTATCCTAGATGGATTCCCAATCCATCTTAGTTTCATTCATGTCTAATGTGTGCATCCTATTGTAAAGCATCATGAAAGGAAAAGTAAAGAGGAAAAATAGCATAACTAATTAGCTGAAGTTATGATTTGATATTATTTAAAGTAGCAATCTAGACATTTCTTTATTCTGTTTTCCTTTAGAAAACGTCATTCCAGAAATAAATGAGACTTTTCTTTACTGAGGCTTAAAGGTTGTATGTAAACTTTCTCACAGTACATGATGTCACCATCCCTGGAGGGATTTAAGACATGTAGGTGTGGGACTTAAGGGCCTGGGTTAGTGGTGGACTTAGCAGGTTAATGGTTGGTCTTGGTGATCTTAGGGGTCTCTTTCAACCTATATGATTCTGTGGATCTATGTAGGTGGGTGAAATAACTAATTGTGGAGGCCAGAAGTAACTGGAAAATGTGATGATGATGTCAGTGCTTGCAGTAATAGGTAAAATTTAAGGATTCAGAGTGGGGAAATAATATTTTAAAAATATGCTAGTAAGTGTAATTAGGAAGGGAGGGAGAGTTAAGTGGAGTACACTAAACGTGAAGACTCTGATTTACTTGTCAGGGATTGCAAGGTTCAATGTCCATGGCTGCTGTAGATAGAATATAGCTCTTTTTTTTTTTTAATTTCAGTTAAGCCTGCACTGTGATATAACATGCATTAAAGGAGCTGGATTGCATCTTCTGGGTTCTGAGAGATAAGTATTTCAGTACTGCAGAGACCACGGAGTTGCTGCAGCTGTATCGAAAAACTGTATATGACTGAAGAGAAAGAAAATCCTCATAGAATCACTCCAATTCCATGAGTGTAGTTCTGCTTCCTTTACTGCAGAGGAAAAACTTAGCAGCACCTGCAGCTGACTGCACATGTGTTCTCCTGGGAGTGAGTGTCTCAGGAGGCTGCATGGTAGGGGTTGGTGGATGAGGCTGCCAGGACGTGCTGATACCTAAATTACACATTTACTCTGCTGAAGGGTGGCAAAACCTGACACATAATGGTGGGTTTGCAAAAATCATTTGCACT